TAACACATCATACTGGTCACCACTGGACAACCTGACCGGCGCTTGGAAACAACGCACGGGAGACAAGCGGACACAGACGTCCATCGCTCGATATGCACACGCGCGCGCACACACACACACACACACACACACCCCCACACACACCCCCACACACACACACACACACACACACACACCGCGCGCGCTCTCGCGCACTCTAACCCGACATGTCAGATAAAAACATAAAACCTCGAAATGATAGGTCAACGAACAAAATAACCAGCCCAAAACATAGAAGACAAACAGACAAAATACACATTAAATCTATTTTAAAAACAACGGAAAAAAACAACAACCGAAAGACTAATAAAAAGTTGCGCAACATGGGGGAAAATCAACCCACATTCTGACCACAACAATGGCGAAAAGTGAACATTGCAGGCGCCTTACTTTTAAGAACGACATAATAGTCTTTGATATAATACACAACACACACACACACACATTCCACCCATCAACTTGAAGAGATCTCAAAACCCTTTCGTAAAAATCGGGGAAAGTAACCACAACATAATGATACTCAGCACAGAAGAAGTAACACGAGGGGAGAAAACACAAAAATTAGATCCAGAACTTCCAGCGAGAGACACCATCAGATATGACGAGTGGTATGTGCAGAATCGGACCTTTTCACGCAGACGTCCGCGGCCGTATATCCCAGGCAGGCGGGAATATCTCCTAGATTGTCCCAGCCCATCTTCCATCTTCTGTCCTCCTCAAAGTCCTCGGCCAGGCGTAACCTGGTTACTCTGCTGATTAGTTGGGTTTTTTCTCGTCCTTTACTTCTCGTCGGCACCGAAGACGAAATCTTCACTATTCTTTTCCCACAGCACTCGGGCTTCAAGGGTAAGATAAAGGCTAGGGAACTGGTGTAACTCCACCCAATGTCATCATGACTGGCCTCAACAACAGACTAATAATAAGAATGCGGTATGCCGGCTGCAGCAGGGACTGACTACTACGGAGAGCGGATAAAAACAAAGCAATGTGGGACACAGATCAAGCAACGACCCACGTCCCAATACCACGGCGAAGGCTACTAGTGTAGAAGACACTGGTCTACTACTACACCATCTCTCCGCGCTCTTCTGACTTTGAGGGTTCCCTATCTCCGACACAAACCTGATGTTATCGCAGATTCTCATGGCCCTATCAGCTCATTCACACTCGGGCGATATACTGGAGAGACGGTTTAATATCGTACGGCGCAGAGAAAAAC